CACATCCCAGAAGCTGTGGACAGATTAGCGTGATCGCTAACCCAAGCAAGGTCAACAGTAGATTGGGAAGCGTTAATCTGGGCTAATCCAAACGGACATGCATCAGGGTGCAGATGTCTCGCTGAGCCGGACCCATCCATTAACTCAAGCCAGATCCTTTTATCTCTTCACTACCCATCTTTCCCTCCATTACTCTCTGACTCCTTGCCATCCCATGGGAAAAGTAAAAGCAGCCCAGGAATCAAAACGGTTTCTCTAATGTGTACATTTTTTTCCAATTACTTGGTTGTGGACAGGTCGCTCTGGGACCCAAACACTGCAGAGATGCTGGAACTGTTGAAGTAAAAATAAATTTTAAAAAATGGTAGTACAGTGTTTCCCCTAGGATTTTTTTCAGGGGGGGGGGGGGGGGGGGGGACTGCTAGTGTTGCGGAGCGGGCGTGTTACGGATACGTGGTGTAATTTTTTTTTGCAATCAAAAAGCATGTCTAATTAATTGAAATCATGTATTATGAATCATTAAACAATACATTTTTTTAAATATATGAAAAAAAAAACTAATTTCTCACACTAATTCTGTGTTGTGTTTTTTTCTGGTAATAAAATGTAAAATGAAGACATAAAACACAAATTGTATCATTTATCATCAATTTTAATCATATGAAATTAAATAAACTTTTTGTCAAATAACTTGCTGCACAATGAGCTTTACTGTTAAAATTAAAAAATCGATTATTCCTTAATTTCAGTTTTGATGATAATTTATTTGGATTAGTGTTAGTGTATTATTACATTGGGACATATCTAAATTCTAATGTACAACAGTAATATATTTATGTCAAGTTAAACCGAACTTTTATTTTGACGGGTTGCCGTGAAGACCTTTTGAGTTTCTGTGTGTTTATGTCATGATGATAGTTTCTCAAATGAAGCGGTGAAATGATCACGAAGTGACTTTCAGAGTGGATCTAGAGCCTGAAGAGGAAGTTCATGCATTTGTGTCTTCATATAGGCCAAAAAACAGCGCAAGCGTCACACCTGCTTCAGTGTGTGTGTGTGTGTGGTAAATGAAACTGCGCGTCGGCGGCACCATTCATTCACACAGAACATGCAGGATTCGTATTTAAATAGTCTTTGTGTTTTAATATTCACACACACTAGTCTACATCGCGATTTGATTTCAAGTGTACTGAACTGCTTTCTATTTTTTCCTCAAATTTACAAATTCCGTGAAATTCCGCGTTATACACTAAAATTCCTTTTTTATGACTGGATTTCGTCAGCATTTTAGGGGGGGCGGGGGGTCGTTTTGGGGGGGCGGGCCGCCCCCCCAAAACAATGGTAGGGGAAACACTGTAGTATCATCATTTCATTTGGCCTTATTTTGGAGAATTTTTATGGGATGCACCCTCTCTCATGAACTCAATTAATAGACTACACTAAATAAATAAAAAAAGTTCTAACAGCTTTCAATTGTCTATTTGCCCTGCCCAACATTTTTATTTCATGCTACTTTTTAATTGCAAAGCAAGAAAACATAGTACTTCCAATTAGACGGGAACTTGAAAACAATGGCATCCATGGAAAAACATTACTAGTTTGTCATTTTTAAACCCATTCTTACTGGCACTAGCAAGATTATCACAAGTCATTGTTGCAATTTTGACAAAACTATGTTACCCGCCCCCTTTAGTTACTGTTGCTATGTCCAACAAGCCACGCCGCTCTCATGCCACACCATGTTCTCACGCAGTGAAAAATACATCACGGAGCAGAGATGACACCGACAACGCGCTGACAGACAGGACAGACCAGGTTACTTTTGATATGAAACAGTCTCACCTTTCAAATTTGGTCATTTTTAAAAGAAATTTAAACAATACCGTTTTGTGGCTCTTTAAAGGAGAACTCCGGCGCAAAATGAACCTTTGGTCTAATTACACATTGTTACCTAGTCAACCGTTATCTGAGATTTGTTTTCATGAATATCGAATGTAAAGAGTTTTATCTCTAAAAACAGTTTAGCCTATAAAGCTAGTATAACGCTAGTATATTGGGCATAGTGTAATGACAAATAAAAATCGCTTGTTAATACCACTAACAAGGCTGAAAATAGCCCCACACTAACACGGTAGCATAATGAGGGTCCCTATCTGCAAACCGAAGCATTGAGAACTTTGTCAGTGTCCAGACAGTTTAATAAGAAGATATTTAATACATACAGTCAACTTTGCGTATACAGGCAGAAGCCATCTTTGAAATACCGTCTTTACCAGTCGATCTACGAACGCCGATACAAGTGCGCTGGTGAGATGTGAACGAGCTATGAGTTGTGATAAGGTGAGTGCGAACAGCAGGCTTGGATCGGCGTTCGTAGATCGATTGGTAAAGACTGTATTTCAAAGATGGCTCCTGTCTGTATACGCGAAGTTGACTGTATGTTTAAAATATCTTCTTATTAAACTGTCTGGACACTAACAAAGTTCTCAATGCTTCGGTTTGAAGGTAGGGACCCTCATTATGCTACCGTGTTAGTGTGGGGCTATTTTGAGCCTTGTTAGTGGTATTAACAAGCGATTTTTATTTGTCATTGATCTATGCCCAATATTATATACTAGCGTTATACTAACTTTATAGGCTAAACTGTTTTTAGAGATAAAACTATTTACATTCGATAATCATGAAAACAAATCTCAGATAACGGTTGACTAGGTAACAATGTGTAATTAGACCAAAGGTTCATTTTGCGCCGGAGTTCTCCTTTAATGTGTCTGACAGATCGCTGTACAGCCTCAGTTAAAGCTACTCGTGAACCGATCATCTCGTCCTTCTTGTTCATTTATAGCATCAAATAAACATGAATGAACATCAGAAGGAATGTTGTTTTAACCGCGGAAAGACGTCAGTACAGTATGAAAATGTATGGCGGATTACGGTTGGTCAGATTGCCTGTCAATCAAACTCCCTGCGAAGGGTCAATTCACAACCAAATTTTCAGAGAAAAACTAGATTAAATGTGGAAGGCAAACAAATTGCATGTAAATTATACAAAAGTAAGTAATAGCACTGATCCAACATGTGAACTACAAGCTATCATTAACCCATCAACCACTCTAGAAACTGATACCAGCATCGGTCGAACGCTAATACAGGCAATTCTCATGAAAACGTGAACACAGGCCGAGAAGAAAAAGCCCAGGTAAGCAGAATGACTAGGCCTCATTATGTAAAGCAAACCCAAGCTTCATTAAAGCTGCAAGCAGTGATGAACCATGAATGAAGATCTACATAACACGTCATATTCCTCAAGGCTGGAGATCGTTTTCATTTGAATTACATTGATTTCTTTCAAGAGGCCTATTGGTTCGGGAGCCTGCAGAGAGCCGGTTTGACCTTGAGAGGAAAGCAGGGAGGAAGACGGGGAGGAGGGGCTGAACGCGAGCTCATGCATCACATCAAGAAACACCCATCCCAGCGAAGGAGAGGTACTGCAGAGTTTAGCATCACGAACACAACCGGGCTGTTCAATTGACCGAGGCGCAGAACTACAAGGAAATAGTTTCATGCAAAGCTGGTTACTAAGCAACTGGGTATTTAAGAAATTGCTCCCCACCCCCACTGATAATAATGGACACTTTACAGCTTTGAGGAGAATATACATGCAAACTGGATTGCAAAACAAGCCCTGATATACCTGAATATCTAAATGCTCTTAAATAAGAGAACAGAAAACTTCTCCTCCTCAACCTCCCTCTGTGAACCAATTGTGTCAAGGGATGTGGAAATTTCCTCTCAAGCAAAGGCTGTGAACCACAGCAAAGGTAATTTGCATATCGAATGAATGCGGATGCTACGTCACCACGGCCGTGGATGATTGACAGCCGAAACGTTCCAAGAGAACGCGCGCTGATACTCGCTCGCCGAATATCGCAGCGACTAATCGCAATATTTGTATATATTTCTATATGAAAGAACTTTTTTTTTTCGTGTGCGATGGTATTCCATTCCCTAATGCGTTTGTGTGAGGGGAATTTCTCAAATTTAGTTAAACTATAAAACTAGAGGCGCTCGTAGCAGGAGAGGCTTACTTGAGGCACAGTGAGTTAGGAGCCGCCATTCATCGAGTTATTTTATAGTACGAATAACAGACACGTAGAATATTAATTTTAGCACAAATTATTCTCTCAACGCATGATTTCACAGCTAATGTGACATGCAGGCCTACTGTAGAGAGCGCAGTGATGACATTCAGGAAAGCTATTCATAGACCTCGAGCCTCAAGTGAAACTGCAGGATACAAACGCGGAGGAATATCTGCCATGCTGTTAAATTAAAACCCGATTAATCACGGAAATCCGCGATGTGTGACGATTCATCCCGTGATAAGGGATGGCATAAGCGGATTCATCCCGTCAATTGTTTTGATTTAGCAAGTATTAAGTAATTATGGTACGGTAATATGCTTATACTGCAGTAAGTGGAATAATACGTAGGCTTAGATTTAAAGCCACATATTTACTACTACCGCCTTCTATGGCTTTTTAAACAGGATCCATTTTAGCTGACTTAAGGTTTCTAAAATGAGGAGTCGTAGAATATGCGATCGATTGCCAGCGTTTTTATATGCATCTCGGGTTATGGCTCATGGATATGGTCTAAATGAACACTTTCAAATGGTGAGATTAGTATGTGGCTTGAGATTGATATGCATCTCAATGAAATCTAATGCATGCTGATCTGCACATGCCGACACATTGTAACGGACTGTAAGGTAGAGCCATAAAGCTCAGTTCGCTGGGTTACAAACGCGTTTGAGAATCATTATCAATGCAACTGAGCTTTGCATTAATGGCAATACAGTCAAGAACAGTGTGTGTGGCCGTTTAAAGGCACATTATGCGTCAACCGCATAGGTAGATCATATTTTTGGTGTCTGAACATCAGTTTTAAAGGCGTGCAATTGTCACTTAACACAAAAAAACCCCAAAACGACTACTTACCCCAACTGCTCGCAGTGCGCCCGATGAATTCCCCCGTCCTTGGGTTGTAGATGAAATCTTTCCAACTCGACTGTTTCTCGTCAGGTTTCTCCTCTTTGTTGGCCATGGTGTGTACAGGATGAATAAACCAGTTTGAGAACGATATATGATAATAAATCTAAAAAAAGCGTTGAATCGGGCTTGCGTCCTTCGCGTTGTGAAATAAAAGAGGTGTGCGGTGTTTCCACGCGGCTCGAGACTGCAGTGCGTCCGTCGCTCGCTCGAGCTCTTCACTGGCAGCGTTTGAACTGCGCTGTGACGCGCATGCGCGGTGGAGCCGCGCCGCATTTACAGGAGCCGCATGAAGCGCGTTCAACATCATTTGCACAAGGTTTACCGAAACGCCACGTAGTTTGCGCACCGCGTTGCATAGAAAAAGTACACTGACAACTTTATAGGGAGCCTGGGGGCTAGTTATTACACTTTTCCCCCCCCGCTGTGTGACTAATTCACAGGTTGGGAATGAGTCCATTTTTTTGTAGGCATCTTGACTCGACAAAAAGGTATTGAGCATTTCCGCCGGGGTAAGTTGGCACAATAAGTTTCTTAAAACATGAAAATAGATCTAGTTTGTCGTCCAGTTTATTAAATGGTTTTCAGCTCAATTTAAAAAGTAAAACTATACATTAGTAGGCTATGTATGTTAACATACATAGTATGTTAACATAGCCCCACACAAATACCAAATATATGGTTGATGTTTTGTTTCAGGTAATTCTAACTCTAATAGCTACAAAAAGAGCTATTGTGTCTGTATGAGTGTCTTTTGACTGATGTAGCTGCGTGATTGCCTATTTGGCGATGACGTTTTTCTCATTGTTTTGTTTTTGATATAGGTTTAACACGAGGGTGAGTAAATAAAATAAAAAACTATCCCTTTAAGATATTTCTGATATACCGGTAATTAAATTCCATAATTCCAATAACTAAATGTTTTTTTTTTACTCACAAAAAAGCAATTTATACCTAATAAAATTGTATATGAATCTTAATGTCTATGAATTCGTTTCCCTGACTTCTCCAGGTCTTGAAATCACACTTTTAAAATCCCCTCATACAAAATATGCAGGTTGTCCAAGATAATGAGAACCCTGTTTTTTGTATTTTTATAAAAATGACAATTGTTAAGCCAACAAATTACAACTAGTAGTGATTTCATATTACATCTTGATTTATAGATTTTTTTATAGCTTATTTTAACCTTTTTTGTTGTTGTCTTATTTTAAATGATGTTACGCCATCTTGCTGCCCCCTAGTGGGTCCTGGTCAACTGGTTAAAAATCACTGGTTTATAATTTTTGTAAAATCTCTCAGATCATCTTCTCTTCCTCTTACCACAAACTCATAAAAATATTGATTTAATTTGCAGTTTAAAGGGTCTTTATGCAGAATTCAGCTTATTAGCGACACCGCTGGTCGTTAAGTGAACTGCAGACGGCATCTTCCTGCGTGTGCTCGCGTGACTGACTGTGACTCAAGGCGAAGTTCTTTTTCGCTCTTTGCTTATAAGTAAAGCATTTGAAACATCCCAACACCGCACACCCTGTTGAGAGATGAATATGTGCTGCACCTTCACACTGAATAACAAGTTAAACACATAACCAAAACGACAGCGGTGAGAAAACAGCATCGGATCGTAGTGATATGGATAAGTTTGCAGCAGCTCTGCGACAGGCATCATGTCGACATATGAGGTTATTAAAATTACACTGATTATATTTGAGACGTAGACTAGATCTGTCTGTGAGACTATGGTTTGAATGAATCTCTTTACATGACACATTGACATTACAGTACAGAATGGCTCTTTCATTATTATCCTGAACATTGTATAAGCATTAGTTTCACGTGCCACTGAACGGAGGCTCTCAGGAGCATGCACGGTGTTAAAGTCACATACTCACATTTTCCCGGCAAAAACATCCCGAGTCCTTCACATAAAAATCAGTCTCCATGCTTTCATAGAGAACCTAGGAAGATCTCTCTTTTTTTCTTTTTTTTTTAAGAAAAGTTTTGAGTTTCGTTACACACATTGGCAATACAAAAACGTGCTTAATATATAAACATTCGTACATATAGCCCCTTTAAGGAGATGTCCGATGCAGTTATACTACTGTATTTCAAGAATACTTAAAATCTGTTAAATTGCCATTACAGTAAATAATAGTTTTTTTTTTAACCCATCACATTTAAATTACATTGACATTCAAAAATGTAAATCATTTCAGCAGCAAAGTTTAATAACTTGTATTTTTAATAATACCATATTATGGTTTTGACGTATTCAGTTTTTTTCCTAGACCACACCACACCAGAGGTAACCAAAATTATATGTTTATATATGTATACATGTACATACAGTTACATTTGCAAACCAAAATTCATATCAGTTCTGTTGAGTTGGTTTAAAATGCCGACCTGAGTGGATCAGGGCTGTTTCCTTTACAAATCCAACAAAAATGTGTTTTTAATCACTCGCAACAAGACTAAATCTCCCAACATGCAACATTCACACAGCTTGAGGCAACGAGCTGGAAGCTATCCGAACCCAGAACGGCAGATGACAACCATCCATATTTAAATTTCCTTCAACTATAGTGATGAATGACAAGGAATAAACTATACAACATGACAAAAATCACACTGAATCAACCTATAAAAAAGAACATTTTCCTTTTTTTTTTAAATGTAATGTAAAGTCCTTCCAGTCGGTGAACGGATCAGGACGCTGCTTTCCGATCCCCACGGAGAAGAAAATAAAGTGGCACTAGCCCACTGGACTACGCAGATACTGTCATATTCAAATATGACCGAAATAAATACATGTTTGGAAAGGATTTGAAAGTCCTCCGGATGGGAGGCAGAGACGGGAAGTACACGAGGCATCTGTTAAACTTCACTTAATCGCTCCCTCTATGGCCTGAGCTGTGGCTCTCTGGCCTGAACAGCACCACAGAAGAACAGTTACCCGCTTCCCCTGGAGCCAAAGACTCCTGGCGTTTTGTAGCCAAACTTGGAAAGGGGAAGAAACAGATTGTGAGGGAAGTTAAAAATATGGTAATATAGAGAGGAGTGGCAGCTTATTTCCTGTGTAGCGTTCTGCTCGGGCATCACTCCGGGGAAGAGGGGTTGTCATCATCTTCGTCCTCGTCGTCCTCTTCCTCGTTGAAGGAGCTGGGCGTCTGTCCGCGGGACTCTGAGGTGTGTGAAGGGGCAGCGCTGCTGCGGCTGTGGGCGGAGAGACACAGAGATCATGTCATCTAAATGAAGGATGAAGGTGGCCTGGATGTGTGGAGACTGTGCTGGTCGGCGTACTGTACCTCGTGAGGCTGAGAGGCGTTCTGGTGGAGTTTCTTGCCATGTCTGTTGGGACAGAACCATGCGTTTATTTAGACATTAGAAGTCAAACACAAGAACCCTATTATAGAGACAGCATCTCGACAGGCACGTCACTTTACTTTCACAGAACAGGAAGGAAGTCTGTGGCTGAAGGATAAAGAAAGAAAAAAAACACACAACAACATCGTACCAATTAAAATTGAGGAAAAATGGTACATGAAACCTGTCCACGAAAAAGTATTGTGAATAATTTCATTAAAAATATAATTCATTTTGTTGTCCCCGTGACAAAAAAAAAGATTTAGCTGCTTTTCTCATTTGCAGCAAACAGTGTCCATATATTTTTGTTTGATTTATGTTTTATATTTTTGAGACGGTAACTTTTTCTTAGCTGACTGAAATATATTTATATTATGATTTAAATCAACTATTTTGTATTAATCCTATAAAGCCTGACATGAAATAAAAAGGTCCGAATTGTATTTTTATAATGGAAGTTTATTGATCCTGACAAATTTATATATATATATACACACACAGTATATTAGTACCATATAAAAGCCTGACGAAAAATATGACAAAAATACATATACACACACATGCTGCAAATATACACTACCGTTCAAAAGTTTGGGGTCAGTGAGAATTTTATTTTAATTTTTTGGAGGAAAGAAATCAATACTTTTATTTATCAAGGAATTATTAAGGAATAATTAATTTGATCGAAAGTGACAGTAAAGACATTTATAATGTTACAAAAGTCTTTTGAACTTCCTATTCATCAAAGAATCCTAAAAAAAAAAAAAAAAAAAATCTGTACAACTGACAGACCAACAACTGTTTTTAACATTGATAATAATAATACATGTTTCTTGAGCATCAGATCCTCATATTATACTGATTTGTGAAGGATCATTTGACACTGAAGACACTGACACTGGTGATGCTGAAAATTCAGCTTTGATCACAGGAATAAATTACACTTTACTATATATTCACACAGAAAACAGCTGATTTACACTGGAATAATATTTAATACTATAACTGATTTTTGTTGTATTTTTAATCAAATAAGCGCAGCCATGGTTAGCAGAAGAGAATTCTTTTAAAAGTATTTAAAATCGTACCGACCCCAAACTTTTGAACGGTATAGTGTATATATGTGTGTGTGTGTGTGTGTTTGCATGTTGCAATACTCTTCTTAAGGTTTAATGCTTAATTTAACATCACAACCGATATAAATGAAATACTCAGATACGCAAATGTTTAAGTTTAACCTCACTACCAGGAAATAACCTGATTTATTGATAGTCTTACACTGTTTACTTGTGTCGTTGGGTTATTGGTTTGCATGTAAACCCGGACGACAGGTTATTTCAATAAGCTGATCTTTGTGAGTTATCGGCGTACTAGTGTGCATGTAAACGTGCTCAATGAGATCTTTATGACAGTATAACAGAATACTTGCATAAATATCAGTCATCACTCTGTATCTCCTAATAATAAGCCTTTGAAAATGCTTAATTTTATGATCAAAGCTCTCGTTTTTATAGTGATACTTGTTAAAAAAAGTATAAACTATCAGTCAGACGACAGAAGGCTTGTGTACAACAGGTTTATCAGCAAAGCTGATCATGTTGATAATTTAGAGGCCATAGAAATGTGCGTATCAAACATGATACAGAAGGCATTATAGGGTTAAGCAAGTATTATCAGCCTAAAAATGTTCATTACTGAGAAATTGAGATTTGGTAAGAGTTAATTTTGGACTCTGCCAAAGTGTGACTTGCAGATTTTGTGGCAGATGGGGCATGTAGCTCCAAACACATCACATTCTCGGCTCTCCACTGATCTGTGTGTCTTGTTACTGTCCGCATGTGAGATGAGGGGTGAAACCACAGTGCAGCCCTGCATTAGCTCGATTCTGTTAGTCCTGCTTTATTACACTTGAGAGCGGTCGATAATTGGGAGCAGGATAATCCTTTACACAAAGATGACTGTGGTTAAGTGTCTTTTTTGAAGAGACAAAGAAGCCATTAGCAATCATGCGGTTGCATCAGTAAAATAAAAGCAAGAAGAGTTATTTTAAGATCCATGATAATTACTTCATCTATTCAAACGATATGCTATTATCCACCAGAACTGTGATATGTTGATGTTTTGGGAGAGATCCTGTCAGGCACAGGCAACAGAGAAACAATGTCATGCAAAAAAAACCCCACTCAGCAAAAATGCTTGAAAAGGAGGTTTATGAGAAGTGTGACGTGAGATACTTACTGGTGACATAAGCCTCCAGAGACTTGGGCACTAGAGATTTGGCCATGTTGAGGTTTTCGGGAGAGCATGTGCCGTTCTCAAGCCCCAAAGACATGCCCATCCGCTTCAGGATCTCAACGTCATCATGGATCTCAAATGTGTTGTCGAAGTTAAAGAGGTATTCACACCTGTGTTGGAGGAATGAGTGTGTGTGTTCAGTAAAAGTGTTGATTAAGACTAATTTATTCACTTTATATGCTTGAGACATGTAAAACATTCACGTTTCACGTCATTATTGGGTTCTTTGATAACAGAATTGCGTATATTTGACGGCATTGCGTGAACAAACCAGTAAATCAGTTCATCGAAAAGAACTGTCCGAAAGAACCAGTTTGTGGAGAAGAATCGGACTTCCCATCACAACCACAACCATGAAAATGCTCGTGCTTAAATTAAACTAATGCTAACAACGAGCGCAAACAAATGCTAAAATGATATAAAACACAGTAAAACAGTAATATCTTATAATTAAAAAGACGTTAAATAAAAAGAGCTCTTTCAGCCTGCGGAGGATATATTTCTACAGAAGAGAGATCTCGTACTTGTCACTGGAGATGGAGCAGTCGATGACGGTGCGCACGTCTGTGTTGAGGATGATGAAGGGGAGCTGAATGACCGATCCTGGAGGGGGAGTCGACTGGGACGACACTTCGTTGGCCTGGTTCCTCTGCACCAGATTCTTGAAGGCGATCTGCTGCTCGCGGGAAGAGAGATGCACAATTCACCACACACACTCACACAGAGCGTTCAGCAGCAAAGGGCCCACTTATTAACGTTAAATCAGTCAGAGTGTTGATAAATACGAAGCTTTGAGTAGTCGTAGCACTAACACGCATACACAGACGCTAACTCATGTAAGTCTCGGGATGTGTGGGGGTTGGTCAAGGACTAGAGCGAGCCAATGCATTTTAATTTAGCGCTCCTGCAGCCCTCCCAGCTCCACGTCCTGATCAATATCCCAAGGCCTCACCCGATCCGTCCATACGCCCCAGACTTCATCGCTGTGATCTGCTGCATCACATGGCGTATCACTTACGCTCATCTATAGCATGTCATTCCTGTGTTAATGTCACACGTCAACACAAACGGGCCGCAGTGAGTCTGTGTGTGGGCTGTGCTTTGACTGCAGGAGATGGATGATGCTCTCTTCTCACTTTAAAAAAACAAAGAATCGATAATAGGAGATTGCTGCTTTTCCACAGCTGGCCACTGTTGATGCCTCCTCCCCCCTCTCATCTGCTGCTTTTACTCATCTATTCGTCTCTTCTTCTGAGCTAATGGAGCGAGGCGTTGATGGCACTGACTGGACAAAGATTTTTTTTTCAGCAGTTTTTGAGTTTCATGTTGCCGACATGTTTTGTAGGGGTTGGAGCAAAAAAAAAAAATCTCATATGCAACGCGATTCGCTATTCAATGATTTAGAATCGATTTGGTTTTTTTTTCTGTTTATGTACAATGGCACTTGTGTACGCTAGAGACAGTTGTTTTCTGCTAAACAAAACTCCCTTACTGACAGACGTCTGCTTTCAAATGCTCACATGTGCTCTGAGTGTTTATTCTGAAGAACGTTTGTGGCATATGGCTGTGCGTGACTCTTTTTTAGCGGTTAAATACACTTGCATCTCCAAATGCTTTTATTATGCAAAATTAATGTAAACACTACGGTGGCCGAGAGAGCTAAACGCGCTGTAACTGAAGAAAACATATGAAGACAGAAAAACGTTACAGCACGTTTCTGTATTTGGTTGTGTTGTGAGTATTTACAGCGCATTTGTGTGTGATTGCATTGTGAGTATTTGCAACACGTTTGTGTATTTGGTTGCGTAGTGAGTATTTGCAGCACGTTTGTGTATTTGGTTGCATTGTGAGTATTTGCAAAACGTTTGTGTATTTGGTTGCGTTGTGAGTATTTGCAGCACGTTTGTGTATTTGGTTGCGTTGTGAGTATTTGCAACACGTTTGTGTATTTGGTTGCGTTGTGAGTATTTGCAACACGTTTGTGTATTTGGTTGCGTTGTGAGTATTTGCAACACGTTTGTGTATTTGGTTGTGTTGTGAGTATTTGCAACACGTTTGTGTATTTGGTTGCGTTGTGAGTATTTGCAACACGTTTGTGTATTTGGTTGCGTTGTGAGTATTTGCAACACGTTTGTGTATTTGGTTGCATTGTGAGTATTTGCAAAACGTTTGTGTATTTGGTTGCGTTGTGAGTATTTGCAGCACGTTTGTGTATTTGGTTGCGTTGTGAGTATTTGCAGCACGTTTGTGTATTTGGTTGCGTTGTGAGTATTTGCAACACGTTTGTGTATTTGGTTGCGTTGTGAGTATTTGCAGCACGTTTGTGTATTTGGTTGCATTTTGAGTATTTGCAACACGTTTGTGTATTTGGTTGCGTTGTGAGTATTTGCAGCACGTTTGTGTATTTGGTTGCGTTGTGAGTATTTGCAGCACGTTTGTGTATTTGGTTGCGTTGTGAGTATTTGCAGCACGTTTGTGTATTTGGTTGCGTTGTGAGTATTTGCAGCACGTTTGTGTATTTGGTTGCGTTGTGAGTATTTGCAGCACGTTTGTGTATTTGGTTGCGTTGTGAGTATTTGCAACACGTTTGTGTATTTGGTTGCGTTGTGAGTATTTGCAACACGTTTGTGTATTTGGTTGCATTTTGAGTATTTGCAGCACGTTTGTGTATTTAGTTTCGTTGTGAGTATTTGCAACACGTTTGTGTATTTGGTTGCGTTGTGAGTATTTGCAGCACGTTTGTGTATTTGGTTGCGTTGTGAGTATTTGCAACACGTTTGTGTATTTGGTTGCGTTGTGAGTATTTGCAGCACGTTTGTGTATTTGGTTGCGTTGTGAGTATTTGCAACACGTTTGTGTATTTAGTTTCGTTGTGAGTATTTGCAGCGTGTGTCTGTATTTGGTTGCGTTGTGACTTGTGAGTATTTGCAGCATTTTTCTGTATTTAGTAAAGTAGTGAGTTGAGTTTTTGTAGCGCGTTTCTGTATTTGTTTGCATTGTGAGTATTTGCAGCACCTGTGTTGTCAAACTGATGATGTTTACTTAATTTGCTGGTGTTTTTATCTGCATGTGTTTTCTTCAGTTGCAGCGTGTTGAGCTCTCTCTCTCGGCCACCATAAAACACAGTCAGTGTGCCTATTGTCTGTGATGTCATCAGTAATAATCAAAAAGCAGCAGCAGGAGATTAATTAAAAATCCGTCATTGCTGTTGTCTGAAAACTTTTTGTTTATTGCTTGTAATGTCTTTCTTTGTTCTCTTTATTTATATCATTTATACATGTGTGTGTGTGTTTGGAAGCTATATTTAGTTAATCATTTCTAACATTCACTTGTTTTGATTTACTATTAATTTCTTAATAATAAAGTACTTATAAAGTACTTTTTTAAACAATTGAATAAAAATCAACAAATAAATTTGATATTCAAAGTCAGTAAACTCATTCATTAATAATAATAAAAGTATTCACTATTGTCCCGTTACTGATTCTATAACACATGAACCATGAGCCATTTCTATGAATGAGTCAAAAAGACTCATGAATCGGTCTAAAATGTACAAATCAACGTTTGAATTGTCTAACAACTCATTCATATACAATCAGTTTAAGTCACTGAACAGAAAGCCATCACTTTCTTCATGCCCAACTAGAAATGAACAGAATAACTGTACTTATATTGGTGGGAGCTTCCTCCAAAGTACTAAAGTGGATAGATAAATGAAGAGTTAAATGTTAAAGTACCAGAATAGCTAAGTGGAATCAGAACGGGAATCGTTAAATTAATTTTCTACAGATGATTCCCATATATAGAGCTGTTTGGGATTTTTGCTGCGAGGTCGGAAAGCTTCCCTAGCAAACCCTCACACACACATACAAACACAAACAGGTGTGGTACAAACCTGTAATATTAGCTCCTCTAGCTGGGCTCTTTTCTGTCGGATTCTTTCCAAACGCTTCTGTTTTTCCAGCTGAAAGATGACCACACACACACACACACACGTAAATATGTACATATCTGTCATCTATTTCTATATTTCGAGTACAGAAACACACAGATAACAGATAAGGTGTATGACCCCCCTTCCTTCCTCTCATCATCATCCTCCATTCACCCAGTGTTTCTGTCTGTCAGGCAGCCACAGATGTGACACTAACAGATGGTGTCCGGCTTTACAAACACACACACATGTGTGTCCTCATTGCCGATGCCTGCTCAAAGCTAGACTGACTAGTATTAAATGATTTACCTGTGTCTCTCTATTACATACAAGAACACAAATGATATGGCCCAGATCAAAAATAAAGTAAATCTTACTTGATTGTCTTCAGAGAATATGTTCATATACATTACAAAACGCTATAAAACTATCAAATAAAATATACATTTTATTGGTTTACATGCAAATCAATAAACTGGCAACGGACATTAGCATTCATACAAGATTTTGAAATGATCAGGTTGTTCCTCCAGTTACACAGTCAGGCATTTACATGCAAAGCGAACTGGGTAACAGGCACATATCTGTCGATTATATATAATTAATGAAGTTCAAATATTTGTATTAATATTTAATAATAATAATGTCAATTTCTTTACCAAAAACCAACAAGCAAAAAACTAAATCAATTGATTTGTAATATTATAGATATATATGTAACTCTTTGACTGCTATAAATTCATAAACATACTTTTGCTAGAAAATGATAGTATATGATGCAAAATATTACCTATTAGTTTATTAAATACTAGTAAGTAACTCATTAACTCATCCCATTCAAGCTGATGGTAGATGGTAGTACACAAGTGGTGACAAATTATAACTACAAATTTAATTTATGACAAAAAAAAAACTAAAACAAAACAAACAAACATTAGGTTTGCAAGAAATAAAACACATGTACAAGCATGGCCCGACCTCTCCGTCAAATGGGCCCAAACGCTTTCACACTGTGTGTATGCTGCGTAAAAATATGGGTAAAATATAGGTGAAAATGCAAATTGACTCTGCCAGAAGGTGGCGCTTGTGGAACAGCAGGATTATAGCGGTTACTTAAAGCAGTGCTTATAAACACAACATCATCATATGCATTAGAGGTAAAATGGAAAGAAAATGCCATCAAAACTTCCCTGGCCGAAATGCGAGTTTACAGGGGAGTTTCCTGCTCCATGATATAAACACCAAAATATGTATTATTAATCAGCAGTAGATCAAAACAATCACTAGGCATAAATGTGGGCTATTTGGGGATTGCAAACTGCGTCTTTACTTTGAAACATGCAGTGCTGGCGTTTCCTTAATTAAATCATGGCCATTTAAAGTTGAATTATCACATCGAAGCAATATTGTGATTTCTTGTTTTCCAAACCCCCAATTTCAACCCTCCTGAAATTAAAATTGAGACTTTAAAGTGCCCGGCCCGGTTCACTTCACAGCAGGGCTTTGCCAAAAATGCAGTTCACTGGTGTGCGAGTTTGTTTATAGAATGCTGTTGTCACTCCCACGTATACAAATAAGTATTTGTAATTATTAAATTACTTTGGCAAGCTGTTTCAAACTCCCTAAATGAACTCCAAACAAACTTTGTTTTGGCCTGATTTTGTTTGAAATGACGTCCCACCAGTTTTTTTTTTATATCGGGGCCTTTAGCCAGAACGCTTAACCGGAAGATGATGCACATTTATCTTCTTTGGGATCAATGGGAAGGTCATTTGTGATAGTGAATTTGTCTTTTCACACACACCCACCTCTAAGTTGTGACACTCTTGGGCTGAGTTAGTGGGAAGGCCAATCCAGCGTATCTCCTTCTTCTCTTTGGAGATAATGTTCATGGCCATCAACACGTTGAGCGCGTCATACACACGCCGGCGGATGTTCTTCTGGTCGTACGCTTGCTGCAAGTGCAAACACACACCCTCTATTAATGTCACAAAGCGCATGGAGATGTGTGATCATCCAGTCGTGCTTTGACTCTTTGTCTCTTTCAGTCTTTGTCCTTCTAGCATTCCAGGGCAGAGAGATTAAAACCGGTGGACTGTCAGAACTAATACCGGAAAATATTCACAACACGCCACTCTCACTCTAGGTAGAAACAGTTGTTATGTAATGATCTAAGGCCAGCGGTCAAAACCCAAACTCTCATTATAAAAGAGATATTATCTGAGATCAACATTAAGTGTCTGTTCCTGCTTATGGTTTTGGGATACGGCCAGACGAGAGGTGGACGTTGTGCAGGACGACAGGAAGTGCTCAACGTTCTTCATAAACCACAGGCCGATAAATCACAGCTCATATTAACACGAGAGGCCGCAGGACGAACCTGTAGAACTTCACTGTATTTTATTGGCCCAGTTCTGTATTATTCTGTTGTGCAAACAGACACCGAGTAAGTGATGGTCATCTAGGGGAGGCATAATGGTAACTATATGCATATTTCATATCTGAAAGAGCAGTCCAAGACAAGGACAGTCTTTTTAGATCAATATCAAATGGCTCTGTAAGAAAGCATTATGCAAAATCCATGACTTTTAAGGCTGAGTGCGGGAGTTATGCACCCAATTTTAATACTTGTGGTAAAGTTGTTCTTTTCTTTTTTCAAATCGCTAAACAGACCAACGGTAAAAAATAATTCGAAATGAAGCTTACAGTCTTATGATCTCGTGGCACTCACCGAGTCGGCGGGCATCAGGCTGCTGGCGTGTGTGAACTCGGACACCAGCTCATCGGCCACCTCGTTGTAAGACGTGGTGCCTTTCTTTTGTACCTTCTCGCACACCTTCATGGAGAAGTGCCTCAGGCCTTTCCCGTTCTTATCTGCCCTCTTCAATCTCTTACTGCAGAGACAGAGGAAGAGAGAGTTTGCACGACTCATACTTGGACACTAAATGTAAAGGGTAGTACAATAAAGATTGTCAAGATTAGTAGCATTCATTTTTAATAGAAAGCAAATCAATATTCAACACATACACACATCCATACATATACACAATTATACACATTATATACATATATATATATATATATATATATATATATATATATATATATATATATACATATACATATACATGAAAATAAATGTTAAATGTTGGTTTCCTTTTAATAAAAAAAATGAATGCATTGTAGTAAAACATACTACATACAAAAAAAACATTTATACTAGGGGTACGTTCACACGACAACGATATACTAAAAATAGAAAAGTTTTTCCTTTGCATTTTCCACGAACAGACGACAACATTGTCAAAACGATCTGCGTTCACACAGATCCGCGAAAATTATTATAAATGTTGTATTATTCATGCCAGGCCAGTAGTTGGCAATGTCACTTTGTAAAGAAACACTATAGACTGTAATACACATGCGATGTTTTCACAAATTAATCTTTTTGTAGTTTACACAGAGATGATCACGGTATCGTTTTCAAAAACTTGCACTTTGAAAACTGTTTTCAAAAGTTTGCATTTTTAGGCCCCCAAAACGCTGTTGTCGTGTAAATGAACGGCCAAAACGCATAAAAAGTTTGCCATTTTTAGTTGAAACGGTGTTGTGTAAACGGCCCCTTAATAAGGCTCCATTTTCTCCATGTAAAATATAAATTAGTTTGTTTCTTCCACTTTAGGGTTGAAAAGTGACCGAACAAAATTTGCAACTGTAAATGTGTGTCCAAGAATTCCCAGCAGACAAAACATGTTTCCCAAACGTATGTCTGGGAAAAAGATTAGTGGCCATACATACTCCCTGTACCTTTGAGTTCTCATATACACACACACACACACACTCTCGCGTCCACACGGAGACGTGTTTAGCTGTATATTGCTAATATGATTAAGACATTTCGTATTTTGTAGGGATGGGCATTTCAAGCAAAAAATAATATTCGATGAATTAGGCTATTTGATTATTATTCGAAAAACGCACCGCTCATATTCAGCTCCAACATTCAATTCCTCTGTAGGCCTACGTGTTGTAGCCATTAAAGAAAACGTATTTAGTTTAATATTTATGTTTAAAAACTATGTTAATCTATGTTGATTAGCCTATATGAAAAGTGAACAGCATGAGTAAGATAGGATCATAAGATGCGCAATATATGGAGTGGGTCAGACATAAATTTGACCACTTCATTTTTTTTTTTTTGTATAAAGCCTTTCTTTAAAGTGAATTTCGTTTTGTATAAATTGTATCTGAATTGTCATCAATGTTTCATCAAGCAATTGCCTGGATTTAATAAATAAGAAGCAAATATAGCATAAAATATAATCAGGACATGGAGGCGGCGGCGCTGGAGCTGGAGCCGTCTCATAAATGAACTGAAACTCAGAAATACATATTTAGAAAGCTTGAAATGTCTAAACAAAACAATTCGAAACAAAAAGAAACAGACAACTCTCTTATGTAATCCGTATGAAATGTGCATTTCTCTCTATAGGCGAGTCAGCATCGTCAGCATCGTTGCAGCCGAGACTAACACGGAAAACACTAGTTTATTAATAAACAATTAAAATGTCTCCTTGCTATATTTGACACATAATAATGATTACTTTGCCGGTTCTTTGTGGCAAGCTTTATGCGTCCGCTAACTAATTGAATATTCAAAAATCAATGGCCTGGTACAAAAATCCCTATTTTGTACCAGGCCATTTATGGTTGTTCATATTGTTCAATAATAATAAGTTCTTGGTGAAAAAAAAAAGAAAAAGAAAAGAAGAAGCTACTGAGTCTAATATTATTGTATAAATCGCGCAAGGTTTATGCGCATACTCCAAGCCTTCTTCCCCGTGTATCTTTTAGTGCATCTCTGTGGCAGAATTACAGCACCACATACTGGTCTGGCATGTATACTACATCGTTTTGAGTCGGTTTCAGTGGTTTTGTGTGTACACAGATATTTCTTGAGACGAAGCAGTGTTTTCGAATAAAAAATGTTGAACAGGGGGGGGGGGGGGGGGATTGGCTTCGTGTGGATGTGGCCTTAGGAAGTCTTATGACAGGCTGTTGTTTAAAGTGGTTTGTGAACCAGCAAACAGCTCTGTTCTCTGTAACTGTAGACGACACGTTCGAGAGTGACGTGCCTTGAGCATGAGCGGAGACACTTCTTTCCGGTTACAAATGGCAGATATGTGTTGCACAATAACTTTTCATCCTATATTTCATTTACACCCATCATAACCTATTTGTCATTTGTTGATTCAAGTGTGTGATCCTATATTTCACTAACCAGAACACACATCACACACATACAATCTGGCATGTCCAGGGCTGTGACACTCTTTGTGCTCCCGGCATGCATGTGTATGCACGTTTTCATGTTTGCTTCGTGTTTCACTGGGTCCTTGGCCCTGGGTCGTGTCACTGTAGCTCACTGCAAGATGCGTCAAGTTCAACCCACAGAGGTGGGAAAACAAGCACACACATGATACGTGTGTGAGAGTGCGAGTGACTGACTCAAAGTGACGTCGACGGCACCACTGCAATGCATACAACCACACTCATTCACTCAATTTATTTATGAAGGACAGAGAAAGGGTCGGTGAACGTGTGTCACAAATAAAACCATGGACTGTATAAAACAATGGACATAGTGTCCGTGACGTCACCCGTAGGTTTCTGAAGAGCATTTTTCAAGCTTAAAGTGGGCGGAGCCGGCCGTCGCCATCATCTTGTAAGCGCGTCACTCCCGGATAAACAAAAATGGGCAAAATTCGCGGATTAGCTGAGGTGACGTGACGCTAACAGACAGCAGGCAAACGGCTAGCAGTGACAGCAGCAGCAAACCACCTGTCACTCAAGTGGGCACGCCCTTAATCATGCAGAACTTTGAGGCTTAATATAATTTAAACGGATGAGTTATAAAAAAAAAAAAAATCACCACCCTCACAGTTGTCATGAAGGGCAAAATAAGCTATATAGACCAAAACCACTTTTTGTACCAGGCTGTAAACATACTTTTTCTGCTGTAAAACTGGGCATATTAACATGGGGGTCTATGGGATTGACTCTCTTTTGCATCCAGACTCTAGTGGCCAGTCGATGAATTGCAGTTTAAGTCCCTTCCGTGTTGGTTTCCAATGAGACAGGAAGGTTGCCGCTTGAATAAAACAGACCACATGAGAATAAAGCACTAGACTCTAAAAACGAAATAAAACGTAAAGTTGTTACTTTGCAAAACCTAAGATAATTTTTTTTTTTTATTAATATAGCGCATTTCCTATGTACTACCTAAAAACTACTTTTTTTTGGTTATATACCATTATATATAACGACTTTAAAAATTGTAATGAAACGCAAGTAGTGACACTCCTTTTCATTTGTATTGTGACATGCATCCGAATGTAACGGTTTATTAAAAATGAAAGAAACAATGTAGGAAGTGGGTCTAACCAACGGATGTTGATTGGATTTTAAGATGTGGGCGTTGCACTTAAAAATGAATGTGAGCTTGCAGTCGATTGTGGAGGGGTTAGGATAAAGCGGACTAAATGTTTGGAGAAGTCTGGCATACATTTGTTCACAATAAGATCTATAACAAGCATTTACAAAATAGATAGGGTGAATTTAAAAATCATTCCGACTTGTGCTCATGATGCCAGCAAGCAAAAATAACCATAGCTATCAAATTAAGTATAATTTAAAAGGCCGTGCATTCTGCTATACGCATTCGCTAGAATATACGTAAAATCTGAGGTATACTCTGGGCTTTACAGGTACTAGCAGGTTACATAATCCGTCTGTATGCGGATTATTACATTATTACCCCATTGTTCCTCATGCCGTGATGCATCATCCGATGTCGAGTGCATGTGTGCCGCAGAGGCTGTGGTGCGTGCGAGCGCTTGTTAGAGTTAAAACAAAGAGATGGCTCAGGGTTCGATGGTGTGCCAAGTACACAAATGGGAATAGTCCGGAGGAAAAATCACTCATTCTTTCTCTCTCACACATGCGTATGAAAAAACGCCACTGCACTGTGGGGTGAATTACATAACTGTCACTCAATGAAGGAGAGAGGTACGGAGAAACAGGAGGAACACGGGGGAAGGGAGGGGACGGGGGGTGCAGTAGCGGCTGATTGGGGTTTCAGTCGTCAGGACATATTAGTTCCAGACCCCCAGCTCACCAACATTCACCTCTAATTGACTGGAAGTACTGCAATGCTGTAAGAGGGACTCTCACGCAGCTCTGTGTGTGTGGCTGTGAATATGACACGCATTTACACGTAACATACATGCACACACACACTGGTTTCTGCTTAGCAACAGTGCTGAGATGTGTCCCCCCCTGTGAAGAATGTTTTAGCATCAGAGAAATGCAGTCTCAGGACAGAAGAGAGAGAGAGAGAGAGAGAGAGAGAGAGAGAGGGAGAGGGGGAGAGAGAGAGAGAGAGAGAGAGAGAGAGAGAGAGAGAGAGAGAGAGAGAGAGAGAGAGAGAGAGAGAGAGAGAGAGAGAGAGAGAGAGAGAGAGAGAGAGAGAGAGAGAGGATGGAAGAGATGGAGAGGGAGAGAGATAGAGAGAGAGATAGAGAGAGAGAGAGAGGGATGGAAAGATGGAGAGGGAGAGAGAGAGAGAGAGAGAGAGAGGGAGGGAGGGAAAGATGGAGTGCTGAAAAAGAGGAAGTGGAAAGAGAGGAGAGGGGGAGGGAGATTCATCTGACCTTTCGCAGGAGAAGACACATCTGCCAGAATGCAGCAAAAAAGAGGAGAGTCACAGAAGGGTAACGGTCTGTGTCTGTGTTTGTACTGTGAGCAATTCAAAGAAACGCTATAAATAATTCACGGGGGCTTAAACAGGGAATAACTATCAAATTGGAATATAAAATTGCAAATATTTAGTTATTAACGATTAAGTGACCATATTCAAACAGGTTTCCCGAATGCTACCCTCCTCCCCCCGTATGCTACTGGTCTAAATCAGAGGAGGCCTAAATCAGCCTAAATCAGAGGAGGCCTAAATCAGAAGAGGCCTAAATCAGGGGAGGCCTAAATCAGGGGAGGCCTAAATCAGGGGAGGCCTAAATCAGCCTAAATCAGAGGAACCCTAAATCAGCCAAAATCAGAGGAAGCCTAAATCAGAGGAGGCCTAAATCAGGGGAACCCTAAATCAGCCTAAATCAGAGGATCCCTAAATCAGCCTTAATCAGAGGAGGCCTAAATCAGCCTAAATCAGAGGAACCCTAAATCAGCCTGAATCAGAGGAGGCCTAAATCAGCCTAAATCAGAGGAGGCCTAAATCAGAGGAGGCCTAAATCAGGGGAACCCTAAATCAGCCTAAATCAGAGGAACCCTAAATCAGCCTAAATCAGAGGAACCCTAAATCAGCCAAAATCAGAGGAGGCCTAAATCAAAGGAGGCCTAAATCAGGGGAACCCTAAATCAGCCTAAATCAGAGGAACCCTAAATCAGCCTAAATCAGAGGAGGCCTAAATCAGCCTAAATCAGGGGAGGCCTAAATCAGCCTAAATCAGGGGAGGACTAAATCAGAGGAACCCTAAATCAGCCTGAATCAGAGGAGGCCTAAATCAGCCTGAATCAGAGGAGGCCTAAATCAGCCTAAATCAGAGAAGGCCTAAATCAGCCTAAATCAGAGGAGGCCTAAATCAGCCTAAATCAGAGGAGGCCTAAATCAGCCTAAATCAGGGGAACCTTAAATCAGCCTAAATCAGAGGAGACCTAAATCAGAGGAGGCCTAAATCAGCCTAAATCAGAGGAGGCCTAAATCAGCGGAGGCCTAAATCAGCCTAAATCAGAGGAGGCCTAAATCAGCCTAAATCGGGGGAACCCTAAATCAGCCTAAATCAGAGGAGGCCTAAATCAGGGGAGGCCTAAATCAGCCTAAATCAGAGGAGGCCTAAATCAGCATAAATCAGAGGAGGCCTAAATCAGGGGAACCCTAAATCAGATGAGGCCTAAATCACGGGATGCCTAAATCAGCCTAAATCAGAAGAGGCCTAAATCAGGGGAGGCCAAAATCAGCCTAAATCAGAGGAGGCCTAAATCAGCCTAAATCAGGGGAGGCCTAAATCAGCCTAAATCAGGGGAGGCCTAAATCAGCCTAAATCAGGGGAGGCCTAAATCAGCATAAATCAGGGAAGGCCTAAATCAGCATAAATCAGAGGAGGCCTAAATCAGCCTAAATCAGAGGAGGCCTAAATCAGCCTAAATCAGAGGAGGCCTAAATCAGGGGAACCCTAAATCAGCCTAAATCAGGGGAGGCCTAAATCAGCCTAAATCAGAGGAGGCCTTAATCAGCCTAAATCGAGGGAACCCTAAATCAGCCTAAATCAGAGGAGGCCTAAATCAGCCTAAATCAGAGGAACCCTAAATCAGAGGAGGCCTAAATCAGGGGATGCCTAAATCAGCCTAAATCAGAGGAGGCCTAAATCAGCCTAAATCAAAGGAGGCCTAAATCAGGAGATGCCTAAATCAGCCTAAATCAGGGGAGGCCTAAATCAGCCTAAAGCCCCGTTCACACTACAAGCGACTTTGTCGCTGCATGTCGCCAGTGGCTGGCGATGAGGTCGCTAATGGGAGTTCCCACTACTGGTTGCCTTTATGAATGACATCCAATGATGTGGAAAGGGATCATATGCGCTCCGCTCCTATTGGTTGTCGCTCCCTAAAGTCGCTCCTCATTTGCATAAAGTTAAACAGATCTCAACTTTGTCGCGTCGCCAGACACGCCCCATCCGGTCGCCAACGGTTGCTGTCGCGTGTGTCGCCGGAAATCGCCAGCTCCCCATTGAAATGAATGGTATCGCGTCGCTTGGTCGCGTGTAGTGTGAACGGGGCTTAAATCAGGGGAGGCCTAAATCAGCCTAAATAAGGGGAACCCTAAATCAGCCTAAATCAGCCTAAATCAGGGGAGGCCTAAATCAGCCTAAATCAGAGGAGGCCTAAATCAGCCTAAATCAGAGGAGGGCTAAATCAGCCTAAATCAGAGGAGGGCTAAATCAGCCTAAATCAGGGGAACCCTAAATCAGCCTAAATCAGAGGAGGGCTAAATCAGCCTAAATCAGGGGAACCCTAAATCAGCCTAAATCAGAGGAGGGCTAAATCAGCCTAAATCAGGGGAACCCTAAATCAGCCTAAATCAGAGGAACCCTAAATCAGCCTAAATCAGAGGAGGGCTAAATCAGCCTAAATCAGAGGAGGGCTAAATCAGCCTAAATCAGGGGAACCCTAAATCAGCCTAAATCAGAGGAGGGCTAAATCAGCCTAAATCAGAGGAACCCTAAATCAGCCTAAATCAGAGGAGGGCTAAATCAGCCTAAATCAGAGGAGGGCTAAATCAGCGGAACCCTAAATCAGCCTAAATCAGAGGAGGGCTAAATCAGCCTAAATCAGGGGAACCCTAAATCAGCCTAAATCAGAGGAGGGCTAAATCAGCCTAAATCAGGGGAACCCTAAATCAGCCTAAATCAGAGGAGGGCTAAATCAGCCTAAATCAGAGGAACCCTAAATCAGCCTAAATCAGAGGAGGCCTAAATCAGCCTAAATCAGAGGAGGGCTAAATCAGCCTAAATCAGGGGAACCCTAAATCAGCCTAAATCAGGGGAACCCTAAATCAGCCTAAATCAGAGGAGGGCTAAATCAGCCTAAATCAGAGGAACCCTAAATCAGCCTAAATCAGAGGAGGGCTAAATCAGCCTAAATCAGGGGAGCCCAAACTTTTTTGATTCCAGATCCGATGTTGTGGACACGCCTGGGGACCGGATACTTCTTCATTATATATAGTTATATAAAAACAATAGTAATAATATTAGCCTACATGTTTTGTCTCATAGAAATGCACATTTGACAGTAGCTTGAGTTGACAGTAGCAGTAGCTTGAGTTGGGACGCAGATATAAATATATTTTTATTAACACAAACAGTAACATCTGTAAAATTTTAACAAACTCATTTTTAAAGGGTAACATTTTTACTGAGTTAGAACTCTACTCTTATTAAAATTAACTATTTGTTTCTGTAATTTGCCCTATATTTATTTACTCCTTTAATATTTAATACATGTCTGAAAACACCTCAGACCCCAGAGGGTTAATACATGTCTATATTAATAATGTAATAAAACTCGATATGAAAATCCCACATTCCATTTACAGTTAGTCTTACTACAGTAATTCCATGGTAAATGTTAGTGATTTGTGGATCGAATAGTGTTGTAAATGTGTTTTCTGTGTCAGTGTTGTTTGAGAATGTCAGCGCTGTTTCTAGAGCTGTTTTTTGCTAGAGCTAATAAATGGTCCGTCTGTTTCGTTCCACTTCTGGCGCGTTTAATGTTGCTCATAAGCAACAGAAATGGCAGTGTTTGTCAGTTATCAAATTTTGTTTCAGAAATCTAGTGCTGTCACCTTGTGCTGACACAGTGAAACTGCATGATTTGTAAATATATATTTGGTGGGCCATTTTACTTTTTAATAAACAAGGTGCGGGCCATTTAAAATTCATCCCCGGGACGTGTTTGGCCCGCGGACCGGACTTTGGACACCCCTGCCCTAGATAGTCCCGCTCCAAACCCTTTTGAGCCGATGTGCCAGCCTGGTCCGGAGTACACAAGCTTTTATAATATTTAAGCCCAATAAATGTTCAAAATTATGGCTTTCAATTAAACTGTTATGTTGAATGGCTAAAATTACTTATTTATACTTGTAAAAGCAATTATTTAGATAAACACTTGAGGATTATGTGTATTAATATGGACAATATCTCGATGAACTTCTGAACACGTCAGCATGAACCAAACAGACAAGCAGTAACACATTCAGGAGTGTAGGGGAACGGCACATGAACACTCGCCGAAAGCACAGCGCTCTCTGTGAAATCTAGCACAGACTACGGACGTCAGTTTCTCAGTGAGAACTCCAGCGCACATGCCCATGCCATCAGTAGTGTTCAATTAGGAGAGAAAAGCAGCTGAAGGAGGGCTTGACTGTGTGTTTTATGTTAACAGAGAAACTCATTAGGGACACGGGGGCTCTGAAACACAACTGGGGTGTGCAGCTGTGATCCTCCGCTGTCCTGCTTAACATCTGAGCCTCATAAATCCTAGTGAGACTACAGCTCTCTTTCTCTCGCGCACACACACACGTCTCATGGGCACATCCATTTAAAGACAAGTGTGTCTATTGATCCCAGTGTCCCCCAACTCAACTCACTTACCTGGACGAGGAGTCACTCAAACACAGTCCGTCCCTGCAAAACACAAGTGCTCAAGTGTCATCTCCCTTTCTTCTAATCCTCTGATACATTTACAAAAATCTTTTTAAACATGATTTTAAAACTGTAAAAGTGTGAAAACAGATGCCCCACCTGTCTGAGTAATAGGAATCAATGTAGTCATGTGTCCTTTTTTTGTTCCTACAAGGGGGAAGGCCACAGTTAGTCAACAAATACACAAGGTTGAGTTTGCCAAGCATATTTTAATTTTAATCGGTAAAATATCTATAGCTTGTATACGGTTTTAAAGTTTACAAATGCTTCTCCAAACTCAAGCAGAAAACAAACTCCCATCACTTCATATGAGGACATTAGAGTGCGATAGGAGCGCTTTATTCCCATTAAAATCAGTGCATGAGAAGCGTGCACGTGGCTCACCCCGGGGTCCACTCGTTGCCCTCGGGAGGGTGTGCCTGAGTAACCATTGCAACCGGTGGGGTGTGCGGCGTAAACGGGCTGCCGATGAGGATGCCTCCAGGGTGAGACACTCTCTGTGGTGTGCTTAAAATCTACAGAATGGGAAAACAAAAAACAGTGTAAGGTTATGCAAATTATAACTGAAGATAGTAAGGTGACAAGTTAAGACCGGTAGAGAGTATCACTTCATGTGAGTTTTGGCAGTCAGCCCCTGCTGGTGGATGCTGTAACTACACCATTATGGGGGAAAAACAAAAACATGTCATAATTCATAGACGGCAGCATCCAGGTTGTGTACTTCCAGTGAACGACTGCATTGAGATGAGAGAGAATGCTAACGGATAGATTTCTATAGGTACAATAGACGTTTTTGATATGGGCGACCTCCACTGTAGAGTTGCTGCATGTTCCCATTCACCCACATGTAAATGATCTGTGATGGTGTATGAGGGCCTCCCTGACTCTCTGTCTTCCTCTCCGCTAACCTGGATCTCTCCTCATACGAGTGTGTGCACAGCCCCTGGGGATCAGCAAGGACATCCTCATCCATCACTGCAGAGATTTATCATCCTCCTAGCCCTAGATATATTCAGAAAGGCTCGCTACCATACAACTGGTACATTCTGTGCAGTATGCGGTGCGTATGAGATATGAATATGAAAACTTTGTGGTTGAAAAACACACATCAGATCACAATAAAAAAATGTTTCAGCCAAACGTGCAGTAAATGGCATATTGCATTGTGCACTGTGTACCAGTGGCGTAGCTACAGATGCGCCCTTCATTTTCCAAATATGAATGTATGCAATAATTTCATAAACAATAATTATAATATAACAATAATTATCTTATCACACTATATTTATTTAGTTAACGGAATTATGAAATGGAAGTTTCCATGGTCAGCTGCAGGCGATTTCCTAGCTTTTCCTCTCCCTATAGGTGCATATGAATGTTTTATGTGTTATGAATGGTCGTCACCTTGAGCATTTCTGGTCTCGCACCTGCTGTATCCCACAATGCTTTGTGTTCAAATCTATTTCCAGTGCGATGAATGAACGAGGAATCGTACAGCCACAATTTTTTTAATTTATTTAACTTACCATGTCATTCAACTTATCTTTTTCATATTTAAATACAAAACCTTATGTTTTATTTTTAACATGCAAACTGGAATCTGATATTTTGACAAACTGATTTAAGTATGCAGCATAATGTCTAAGCATACGGATACAAATATATATATTGTGGCCACGAATTAAGAATTCTTTCACTCGTTTTAATTTGTTTACTCATTTTAGGAAATCGTGGCCACTTTAAACTAATTTGTTCCCTTGTTTTGATTTAATTAAAACAAGGAAACAAATTATTACAACATGGCCACGATTTAGTAAATCAGGGGAACAAATTATTATAACGAGCGTACAATTTACTTAAAACGCGCTGTAAGTCGTGGGAGCGAATTGTTAATTTGTGACCACAATATACGTTTTTTTTATCTCCGTTATATTTATTTATATTTTGAATGAGGTTTTATTTTCATTTTAGTTTAAGTTTTAGTAATGGTGTTATGTGCTTTTGTCATTTAATGTGATATGTGTATATATATATAAATTAAAAGTTTTAGTTTTAGTAAACATTAACAAGACTAAGTCATGTGACAACACTGTAGTAAACGCATACTATTTAACTTGTATATCATGTCATATTGTTCCACCTACTAAAGTAGGAAGTATGACTGTGTAGACTCTGTGAAGTTCACCGTTTTTACGTCTTGTAAACTGTGAGATCTACTGGGCCGGAAAGGAATCTGTGCGTAAGTGTGCCACACATCTCTGTAACGAGTGAGTGAGGGTCCTAACGAGGGCCGTTAATAAGCTCATTAGCAGAGGTGCGGGCACACAGCGCGCTTCTGTTCTCCTCTCAGCCTCTGCTTTCATGCTTTCGGCCCATCACACACGAGGTCCGTCCATCACTGGACTCGTTGTTTGGTGAAGGGTGTCATTTCTGCATCACTAGCGGCACTAAACGCAACTGCAAAAATAATGGCTGCTTCCAAACAGGTTTCGCATGCAGTCCTACTGCCATTGAGACAAACAGGACGCGAAAATCACATGTTAGTACATGCAAACGAAGCATGAGTGCTTACACTCTTCAGGAAGTAAACCTAACAATTGCCTAATTGCAGTTTACTATTAAGCTAGTATAGAATTAAATATTTTAGCACTGAAAAAAATGACATTTCACTTTAAATGTATGCATTTACACAGAAGACATGTTTACGGCAGCATTGTTGTCAAACTTCAGTTCATCAAGGTCTCTCTCTCCAACTTCCTCCCCTTACATCAGTGTCTTTCCTTCCCTTTAAACTCCTTTGTGTGAGTCCATCTTCTCAGCATTCCTTGCTTTTGTTCTGCTGAGTGCAGCCATACTGACCCGTAAACACCCTCCTCTTCCCACCCCTTCAGTCTCCTGTTGTCCATGTACAGCAGTGCAGCACATGCAGTGGAGTCAGTGAATCACTGTTCTGTGAAGCATCACTGCCCACCAATGGCTGCAGACCGAACTACAGCACAGCATTTACACAAAGAGCTTGGATGGGTAAAGTTAACACTTTTTGTTTTTTTATCGGTTACACTGTACAATAACGTCTCTCTACTTAACATTAGTTGTCATTAACCAACATTGATAATGAGCAATACATTTGTTACAGTATTTATTAATCTTTGTTAAAGCCAGTTAATACAAATACAACTACTCATTTTTAGCTAATGCAAGCTCAGGTACATTAAATAATATTAACAGATACAACTTTTAATTGTATTAATGTATTAGTGAATGTTGATATTAACCTAATTTGATCTGATTAATCCGATTCAAACATAAATAGCAAATATGACGACAGAATTGATATGTTTGATTCATTGTTGGTGAATAATATTTTTTTAGATATATTTAATATCCTGTAGGTAAACAAATATTGATATTTATTACAAAGTTTATTTATATCATAGCATAAATATAAATATTCCTCATTGTGTTTCCCAGATTTACTGCATTTTACTTCTTGCATTCTTGATTCAACATTTTCAGTCTACTTTGGTCAGAATTATTTTCATAAACCATTTCAAAACTAATATAAATGCTCACGAAAATAAATGTGATGAATGCACACAGAGTTTTACACAACTGTTGCCAATGGAGAATAGATTCAATTGCTGTTGCACTTTAATGTTGTCACTTTTGTAACCATTTAAGTCCGTCTGGAGTAGTGTTGCAAAAGGGGCTGAACATTTCCGGTCAATTTCCGGAGGCTTTCCATGGGAACTTAATCTGGGGAATTTTGGAAATATTCCAAGTTAGAAACTTAAACGGAATTTATGAGAATTTATGGGAATTAATTGAAAATTTGGGGAAATTTATATAAACTGTTTGTTATACAAACAGAAATATAAACATTTTGTTATAGTTATAGTAGCAGGCATGTTAGTTGTTGTTTTTATTGCATATTGATATATTTTTCAATTAATTACTTCTGATTTAGTAAAATGTAAAATAAATATATTTTTATTGCAGCAATTGTTATGCATGTTATTTGTTTGCATGTGTCACATGATCCTTCAGAAATCATTCTAATATGCTGATTTGATACTCAGTTATTATCAATGTAGTGTATTGATATTGAGCAGCACAACTGTTTATTATAATGATTTCTGAAGGATCATGTGACACTGAAGACTGGAGTAATGATGCCGAAAACTCAGCTTTGCCTTCACAGGAATAAATTACACTTTACTAGGCTATATATTCCCATAGAAAACAGCCTTTTTAAAGTGTAATAATATTTTACAATATACATTTATTTTCTGTAATTTGAATGCACAGTGCATGCAGGGTGTGTGGCCTCAACAGCCCTGCAGTAAGAAGTGTGACTGAGGAATGTGCAGGGTAGAAATTCAAATGAAATTGCATTAAATTTGGTTGTTTTAACCAAGATTTTGCTGCAAGATTATTATTTTTTTCAACTACATTTAAGTACCCTATTTAAGTACATTTAAGGCTAACCGGCAATTTAGCAAATTCCCAGTTTATTCCCATTAGTTCCCGTTAATTCATATATATATATATATATATATATATATATATATTCCCGTTAATTCCCGTTTATTCCCGTTAATTCCCATGGAAAGTGTCCAGCCATGAAAATTCCCGGAAAGTTGCAACCCTGGCCTGGAGCAACTTGCAGCCTCAGTTTTAATCTGAGTGTTTGAGAGATTATGAAGTGCTGCTTGTTTGCATGCATTTAAAGACGTTTGTGTTTGTACACTGGTGTGGTGTGTGACACTGACCATCTGGGCTCCCACATTTGAATTGACCGTTCCTAGTGTGATCTTGGCGGCTGGGCTGTAGCTGGACGGCGTTACCAGGGAAATGTGGCCTGCAAACACAAACATAGTCAAGCTGATGTTCACAAATAAGACCTGGGAGTTTCTGAAAGGAAAAAGCATTTCACAGACAAGCAGAAGCTTGAATGGATCCCAGCTTTGACTGAATGGAAATGGTGATTTGCTCACAAATTAGTGCTCTCAAGCAGATTAAGTTTTACAGGCTGTAAGCAAACTATAAATGCGATTCACATTACTTATGTGCAGTGAAATGTATCATTAAAATAATTCTGCCTATTCAACAGCATCAGTCCTGAAAATGAGTACTTAATGTTGAATCCCGCTGCCAATAATCAATTTATAAGGCTAAAAATCACATTTATAACATTCTGTTAAAGTTGCACAGGAAAATGTATACATATTATAATGTAAATTAAGTTAAACGTGCACACCATCATAGACACAACTCTCAGGAGTGTGACCTATTATGATGTGGGGCATGTTTTCAAACTCTATGGGGCAAGTTGTCACAGATGACATATGTCATCAAACCGTCTATTATAGTATTACAAAAGTATTTTTGGACACTTGAGCCACATAAAATTATGAATGCTGTTGCTTTAGATATAAACTGAGTGGCCTTTCATTAAAACAACATTTTAGACAAAATGTGTGTGTGTGTGCATTTTTGAGAATCAGATCTGATACATCAGGCTTTTATGTCTCATATAGTATGATATAGTGAGAATATGAAGTTCCTACTCAAGGAAGAAAAAAATACCTATTTTATTCAGAGGCCCAAACGGAGCAAAACTATGCGGTTTGGTGCAGTTGCTGAAATTGATATGGCCAAGATGAAATTATGAAAGCTTTTAATGTAAATCAGTTTATAAGAGTATAGCAGATACTCACATAAAATGCATATAAATATCAGCCCTCACTCTATATCTCCCAATATTACGTCTTAGTAAGACGATATTTCAGTGCTTAGCTTCATGATCAAAGCTCTGTAGTTTTAAAATGTATGATGTAATGCAATAAAAGGATGATCGAGAGATGAACAAATGTTCCTCAAAAGCCTGAGGGATCGTATTTGATGCTCACATTTTAACATGATTTTTCTAAAAAAAAAATATGGATAAGCAAGTAAGCTGATTCAGTCCAGTACGTGTTTATTACTAAAATATAATATTACTTAAATATTGCTAACAATATAAACGTTATTCTTACATTTACCACAAGAATCTGTAAAGATTTCACAGAATAAAGACGCATAAACCATTTTTTTTTTCAATTGCACTAAAAGGCCTTTGCTTTGATCAATCAGACGACAGAAGGCTTGTAGTTGATGGTGTACAACAGGTTTTTCAGCAAAGTTTAGATCATGTTGATAATTTAGAGGCCTTTGTGTATCAGATATGGCACAGTAGGCTTTATGGGATTGATGTGATGAACTACTCTGCTCTGACACCGGTGTGAACTTGAGAAGAGAGGACCTCACACGTCCACACAAAAGCCCTGCAACATCAGCTGCTTAAAAGTCTTGAAGAGGTGAAGTTAGTTTTGAGGAAAGCTCTAGCATACATTTATTTGCAGATATCATCCAATGCAACAGCATCAAGACATGTTTAAATGAAGTGAATGAATGGATACTTCTTGAGGCCACTGTATAACAGTGTTTTTCAGTGATTCCCACCCATGAATAAGAGACGGTTGCGTCGGTGGGATAAGACTGAGAGCGAGGGAAGGTTACAGTATGGAGATCGAGGGCAAGACACTTCTGAAGAAAAAAACAAAAATCCTGAAATGCTTTCTTCGAATTCTGTGGTATCTTTTGAATAGAGATGCAAATCATGTAAAGGTTGTGGCATATCAGATGCAAAACCATGCAAATGGGCCTTGAAATCACGCACGAACACGCAATAGGGCGAACACACCCTGAACTGTGTGAATGAGACGACATGCCAACAATCCCACTCTATGCATGCCTGCTTCCCACTCAGACTCGGTCCAGTCTGCATCACAGCAGCCGTGACGCTCACAGTGTGTCTTTGTAAGCCAAGTTTATCTCGACTGCAGCTGTAGATGGACAATGATCTATTGACATTATGCACCGAACACCAATACAAAGCAGTTTCCTTACTTTTCATTAAGTACAACAGCAGATGTGCAATGAAATGAAGTCATGATTGCCTCTCTAAAAGAACGCTACCGAAAGTGAGCAATCATAGAGCGTCTCAATCAGCTTCCTGAGGCCTTGTCCACACTAACACGGTTTCGTTTGAAAACGCATCTTTTTCTCTTCGTGGTCTTCCGTCCGTCCGTCCGCACTGAGACGCATTTCTAGCAACGAAAACGAAGCTTTTTGAAAACGCTCTCCATAGTGGATACATTTGAAAACGCTGGTTTCACGTTGTAGACTGTGGAAACGGAGGTGTTTGAAAATGATGACGTAAGTTTAGTCATGTGACGCATATTGAACCAATAGATATTCATGTTGATACCGATGTTGTGCCTGTTATGTGCTATTACCTTTCACTCTTCATATCACAATCCTGCATAGATGACAGAAATTTCACTCGCATTTGCTGTCCTGCGGCAAAACACGAGAGCAGTCGCGCTTTAGACCAAACATGTGATGGCGACTGAGAGAGACCTGGACGCTTCAGTGAATGGGGAGATATTTTGCTAAATGAAATTATCCTGCCAGGAGAATTGCGTGATAAATTGATTATGTCTTGTACTGTCTGTATCATCTCAGTGAGCGTGTATGAGGGTTTACGCATGCGCTGTAAGGCGAATTCAGCGTTTTCCGACGTTTCAGTGTGGATGAAAAACTTTTGGAAAACACTCGAAAACGCTAGTGTGGCCGGAGAGCGTTTTGAAACGATAACTCTGTTTTCAAATCTATCCGGATTAATGTAGACGTAGCCTAGGTCGTGAATCAGCATATCATGTACACTAATTCGGGCACTGGTAAGCACAGTCAGGACTCTGGCTCACTACGTGTGGCGAGTTGTCTCACAGGATTTATGTTTTGCGCTTCAAAACTTCTGCTTTCCGCTTCGATGCTCCCTGGTTTTCACTGAGCATTGTGGATGGTCCCAAAGGCAACCCTGAGCCCTTGCGAGTCCACACTTTCCTGACGTAACGTGGCTTTAACTGTTGGGAAGAACTGCAGAGCTTGCAGGAACGGCAAGTGTTGGTACATCACTATATTATTAACCCTTTGAGGCGTACGGTCCAGAGTTTCCGCTAGAAAAAAATGGTGCCGGTCACGGTTTTGATGATATGCCGGTCAAATATCGCCTCTTAATTAGTCAAGTTGAGGAAAACTGGAGGCAGGCTATGCAACATAAAAAATTACATAATCAGGCCGTATAGAATGCAACATGTTTATTAAGCCCCGTCCACACCGGGACGAATATCGGAGCGCGTTATTCGGCAGCGTTTTCCAACGCGTTTTTTGTGTTCACACCCAAGCGATTTTCGCTGAGGATGAGCCGAGTGAACATGCAAATTCATTCCCTGACATTAGATGGCGCTTAATGTAAAACAGAAATACCCCGGTCCACAAAGTGGCGCTGCGCAACTACGCTTCTGACACTCGCTTGTCACTCAGAAGAAGAGAGCAAGTTTGTCGCGTTTGTCATATAGTTCTTTATTGTCGTTGGTGTCTCTTTATAAAGACACCAACAAGACCAGCAGCTCTACATTCATCTAGCCTTGCATCTTCCTCGTCTTATTTCTTCCCGGCAGAGTGTAGACGCTGTATATCTTCTTCGCCATTACGTATGTGTGCTCGGCAAGACCGTTTTGTGTTTGAGCGCCCCCAAGTTGTGTTTTACTGTAACTTCAGAAGCTCCAGACACGTGAGCAAAAGCGCCAATTTCATTGGTCGGATCGTTTTTGACGCGGCGCGTCAAACCAAAAAAACGAACCCGAGGCGTTTTTTTTTTTTTAAATGACGCTTTTACGCGTGGCGTTTTACGCGTCGGTGGCGCCCATTGTTTAGTCACGAGGCGTTAAACGTCGGCGAATATCGCACGCGAAATTCGTCCTGGTGTGAACAGGCCTTTAGCCTAACTTTCAAATAGACGGGAAAAAAACATGAACGTCCGATTGGCGTCAATCAACACCAATTGTTTTTTACTATGGTTTCACACACATTAACTTTTTTTAAACATTGAAGCACGGATGTACCTAACACAAATAAATAAAAGATCTCCAGTTAACTAACAGATCATTCATTTAGTTCGCTATTAAAGGTGCTATATGGAACTTCTCTTCTAAAATGAATCCTTTTTTTATTGCCTGTGTGTGAAGGGGTTGTAATCACACATTACAATGATCCACTTGTCGGGTTTTGCTATTACCTCTGAAGGCCAATATTCATATTTATATGTTAAGTCTCCGGGTCGGATTTACCGCGAAATCCATCGGATGTGACGTGCATGCGCGCTCCCGAGCCTCTCTCCTTTTTATATACAGTCTATGTGACGGCACTGCAGCTGACGACATGGAGTCTGATAACACCCAAAAACGACCTGCCTCCAGCACAACACACACTCCAACACAAACTCCACATAAATATAAAAAACAAAACAAAGTTTTATCTGCTGGAGCTCGTCAGGCCAAACGTGATTCTGATCGACTCAGGACGAAAACACGGATCAACATCGGCAGAGCTTTTGAATTATTAGTAAACTCAAATGAAATAGCAAGGTAAACTACATGAGACATGGAATGAATACAAAAGACTGTTCCAGGATAAGAAAAGGTGCTTTAGGATACTTGTTTTAGGCCTATGTACTAGATCTACGTTATAGATCGTTACGCTATAACGTAACTCATCCCACTACTATCATATTGTTTATAATAAACATTTCCAGACATGTTCAGTACAGTAATGTTACTTCCTACTGTCTTACTGTTACACTGACATTGTTCAGTCTAGTTCACTAACCGTTTTCGTTATCATATTATACATTCACCTGTGTTGACATTGTTGATTGTGAAAGATACACGAATAGTTAGTGAAATGCCGTAGGCT